CCAGGCTGGGGCACTGCCTGAACACCATCTGATGGCCATCTAGGCAGAGAAGGTGGCCTCTCTCCAGCCCACCAGGAACAGGACCTTTTAGCGATCTGAACTTAAATGTGACACAGCCTCTTCATAGCTGTCAGAGCAGACTGGCAAAGTCTCCGTCTGTGGTCGGTGACTACGGTTTTAGGGAAGAGAGTACCCACGGACTGTTGTGGCTGGATAGCGCATAGCTGTTCCAGTTTTAGGCCTGGTCTTCATGATATCACTACTTATTGAGTAACTATTCAAAGAAATGTCAGTCAGGTTAAATAATGACTACATTCAGTGTTTGTTCAGCTTTCTACTTAGCAGGAACTCAGGCCCTGTACAAGCATAATCTCATTAACCCTCACAACAGTTCTTTAAAAGAGTTGGCAGTATGTCCATTTTGCTAGTCTGAGGAAAGAAGACTCTTGCAAATTAAGACTGATTCAATCACTTAATCAAATAATGGTCATGCACCACTAGTGACAGCGTAGCACTTGAGAGACTAGGGAAGAGGGGGGCACTGAGTTTCTGAGTGCCTCCCATCTAGGCCCAATTGGGTTGGCAACTGCTAGACTTTGCCTCTTGTCATTTAGAAAATCATCAAACTGAAATCTAACCCGTAGTTTCTTCACTTGATTTTGATAGAGAATTACTTCCTCTGTCTTGCTGTCTCTGTGGAAGAGTCAGAATTGAAACTGCATATACCCTGTGCACCATTGTGATAGTAATGGGGTGGCTTTGGGCACACCAAGCTTCAGAAAAATGACTGATCTTTTGGATGTGGATAATGGCTGCTGCAGAGTAGAGAAATTGTTTGAACTACCTTCTTCTTCCTGAAGTCAGACAATATCCTGGTTCAGTAACCCAAAAAGTCTGCAAGGACCTGTTTTAACCCAATCTAATAAATCTCAGCTTGGACTTAAAGGAAATAAAGTGATTTGACATTAGTGGGATAAAAGGCTCTATTCTATTCTTTCTCTCCTCAAAGCTGGTTCTCCAGTTCGTAGCCATGGACTTCCTAAAAAATACCCTAGATTTCTCTAAGACTCTTTCTACACCACATGGATTGCAGCATGTAGGGTCACTTCCAAACAGCATGCTCCAGAGACCTGAGCCTGAGACAACTGTCATCATACCACCCACTGGGGGATTTGATGTGGGTTCTGGGTTCATGATTTGGGAACACTTTCTTTGGCTTTGCCCAAATGCTACTGAGGCTTGTGTGGCTCATCATCCTGCGCCCTCCCTTGTTCTTTCCAGCTCACATGGCAGACGATGTTGTGTGAGCTTTCGTCAGAGGCTTGGCTGGCTCTTTACACCCCAGGAGAAAGGTGACCTTTTGAGTTTATACCCAAATGTCCTTATGAAAGATGCCTCAAATCTGTCTATCACATTTAGAGGAAACCCCCAGCCAATACTTGAAAGTGCTAAGAAAGGGTCACTCAAGTCCACAGGACAGATCAAAGATGGGGGACAAGAAAGAGAGATAGAGAAGCTGGTGCGTCTTTTAAAATCCTACTCTTGTTCCAAGATCCTTATCATCCCTAACTAAATTTATTTCCCTCTCCTCTGTATTTGTGTATACTTAGTACTTCTCTTAGGACATTTATCACCAATAATTTAATATTTTATTAGTAATTATGGAAATTTTGCATTAGATGATGTTTTATTCAGCTTTCATAATACATACTATAGCATTTGACACTTCCAACACCTTGGACAAGTGACTTAACCTCTGTGAGCTTCATTTTCTTGCTTTGTGAACAGCAATTATACCGCTCTCTCTTAAAGGACTGGCAAATATGTCCATTCTGTCAGTTTTGGAAAAGAAGACTCATCCAGATTAAGACTTACTACATCACTTAATCAAATGATTCTCTCAGGGTTGTGAGGACCAACCGAGCTAAGGGATGCACCAACTGATTTGTAAAATGCAAAGGCACACACAGGTACAGAACAACAAAGACTCTGAGGGTTCTAGCTTTACAACTGAGTGCCAAAACAGAGACCTGAAGCAATACCTGAGAGGCAGAAGATTTTCGTGTTGTAACCGAGTATTTGACAGGATAGCTATCTGTCTGGCCAATCAGGCTTTTGGGCTGGTGTTCAGGGGGAAAATGTCAGGCCTAATAGGTATGCCAGCCAATGGCATGTAAACAATCACTGAAGAAGGAGTGTGGACTACACCCCCAGGGAGAGGGTGTAGCCTGAGAAGAGGCCGAGAGGAACCCTTGGGAAGGCCTGCATTACAGGGTGGAGTACATGGAGAGGAGATGGCTGAGGAGAAACTGGATTGACAGAAAAACCAAAGGCAGGCAGAGATTCCAAGTCAGAGACTAGAAGTCAAATGAATGAAAAGAGACTTTGGATTGGCAGCTTAAGAGGCCACGGGCAGCTTTGAAGAAGGTGGTTTCAAAGATGCAGCGGGTTGAGGACTGAAAGAGACATGAGGAAGTGCAGACAATTTGTGGAGGATGTGTATTGTAAACTAGCCTTTTGAGAAATTTGGTGAGGAAAGACAATAGAGGGATTGGCTGGTAACTCCAGGAAGAAATAGGACCAAGGAAATGAAAGAAATAATAATAGCTAATGCCTAATAGTTATTTATTTAAATTAACAAACACTCACCTAGCATTTACAATGTGTCAGGCACTGTTCCAAGCCGTTTACAAAAATTATGTTATTTAATTCTCAACACTACAGTATGAGAAAGTTGTTATTATTATTATCCCAATTTCTACAGATGGGGAAACTGAGACACAGAGTGGCTAAGTGCCCAAAGCAACAGTTAGCAACAACAGAACTGGTATTTAAACTATGGGCAATCTGGTTCAAGAGTCCATGTTCTAACAGTTAAATGGCTTGGTAGCAGCTTGAGGAGGAAGTATCAAGATTTTTCCTTATTTTCAATAGAGAAGACTTCAATTTGCTTGGATGCTAGGAAGAGGGAGCCAGTACTTTAAGAGAATGAACAAGAATTTCTGGATAATGAAAAGAATAATCTCCCAGACCACATGAGTGGCCACGGTGGGAAAGTGTAGATGAAGCAGTTAAGTTAGTCCTGGACAAGAATTAGCACTAACTCTTCTTAAACAGCAGAGAGATGCTGAAAATAGAGATTACATTTTGAGGTGAGGAGAGGGAAAACTGAGCAAATTCATATCAGATGGACCCTAGCAAAGTTTCTGCTGAGAGAGAGAGGTTCAGAGCTTGAGTAGAGAAAGCCACAGCTTCCCAGAATGGAATGAGGAGTTGACTCTTACAAATTGCACTAGACAGCAGGTATGCTTACCAAAGGCGTCCTATATTCAAAACCACATGCTGAGATCTCAGCCTCCTTCTGTCGCAACTTTCAATGCGTTGAGAACGGTATAGAAGGAGCACTTACAGAACAATAAAAGACAAGATAAGATCAAGTAGCACTTGTACGGCTTAATGTTTTTCTGTAGCTTAGAGAAGGGAGAGGTCTGTATGCTTCAGAGGAGCTGCAAAAAGCCTGGGCTTGAGCTGGACCTTGAATATCAGGAGAATTTAAAAAATAGAGACAGAGGCACAGTTTTTGCTGGTGAAGGAAATGAGAAGAACAGAAGCATCAAAAGAAGAAAAGCAGGCATCAGAAGGAGCTCTTGGTAAAAGTGTAGGGTCGGGGGGGAGGGGAGAAGTGGCATTCAGGCCAAGACAACCCTACCCAAGGGCCTACTACCGATTTGGATCCCCTTGGGTCCTCATGTCCCTATCAGCCTCCTTGGCTATCTCCCACTCCTGTTTTGCTTTTCTCCATAGCCATCATCACTTCCTAATATACCATATTTAATTTTTATTTTGTTTGTTTACATTTACTAGAATGTAGGCTCGTGAGAGCAAGGAGAATTGTCTGGTTCACTGGTATATCTCCAGGGCCTACATCAAGCCTGGCAATTAGAAGGTGCTCTCTAAAGATTTGCTCAATGAATGAGTGTACCCCCACTTCAGGGTTAACCTGGGGTCCTTCTGGTGTAGGCTCAGGAATCCCGGGGCTCCCTGTGCCTGACTGTGAAGAAAATCCTAACAGCCTGCTTCTCAGCTGGGCCATCTCTAATACCCAAGTGGAAAGCAAGCTTTTAGAAATGAGAGGCAGAAAGTTCCGGGAACTGCGGAGTGAGAAAGACTTCTTTCCTACGGAGGTGGGAGAAGGTGTTTAAGGACTGATGGATTTTAGGCTAATTGATCTAGAATGGTTTGGGGGGAGAATGAAGGCAGCTAGCAGGACTCGATGACTTTGGGAGGCCCCACTCCCCACTCTTAGGAGCCCTCAGGTGTTATTAATCTGTTCCCTCAGCTCTCGCTGGAGCTGTGCCAGCCCTGGTAAAAGGGACAGTTATTCCAGAGTCCTCCTCTGGGGAAGGAGCCTTGCCTCAGATCCTGGTCCAAGTAACAAGGGCTGCTTGTATCCTTGCCAGACTTTTTAGATTGCCCAATGGGAGAATCGATTTTTTTTCCTGCATATATTTAAGTTTAAAACTGGCTTCAGAAGAGAAGGAAATAAAACACTCTCTGTGCGGAGTCTAGGAGCTACAAGGCTGAGCATTGCCCAGCGGTGGAGTTGATCCACGCTAGACATTCCCACATTCAGAAAGCATCAACAGTAATCATGGGTCATGGGTCCCACACCCACCTCAGATTCCCTCAGGCATTAGTGCAGTCAAATGAGTCGGCCCCTCTGTGAAGGGGTGATCCAATTTTCCTATTCTGTAAAGAGGGTCTGAGAGTCCTCACTTGCTCTCCATGTCTGCATCTGCAGAGGGACGGAGATCTGATCCTACCTGTGAAACACCTTGTGTTCCTTAAAAAGAGGCAATTTGCTTTTATTCAGTGGCACTACTGTTTGGAAAGTCCATTCACCATTTGTCAGGAGAGGTCATTTGTCAGGCGAGGTGAGCTGGCAGTTTCCTGGGAACCTTGGCATGTGCCTGCAGTCTCCCAGGGAGAGGCCTGTTGGCTTCCAGCTTCCTTCCCTCTGAGGAAACCAGAGGCAGTCCTCCCTCTCTATAAAGATGCCCAGGAGGAAAGACTCACAGGGAGAAACCTATGCCTGCCTGCTAGGAAAGGGTGGGCAGGCGGGGGAAAACCTGGTTATACCTGTCAACCCATCCTCCCCAGCCTCCCAGCTGAAACGGCCGCCATGGAGCAACAGGTCCCTCCCTCAGGCCAGGATGTCCTGCTTGGAGCCCATTTCCTGTTAAGCAGAGAGGTAAGCAGGGCCTGAGCCAAACTGCTCGTGGTCAGGGAAGCTCTGCTGGTGCCTTCTCGAGCTCGGATCTTGGTTGGGTCAGTGTAACAGCACTGGAAGGCAGGACTTTGATATCTATCTCAGGATGCTCCCTGGCTAAGGACTGCATGTGTCATTGCCTCCTAACTCTGATGAACAAGCCGTGAGTGTCAAACTCCAGCCCAGAAGACTGATGTGGCAGAGTTTGGCTGAGACAGCATGGCTGGGGGGGGCGGTGGGGGTGGGGGTGGGGGGCCGTGAATCTGGCTCCAGAATCAGCTGAGGGCCTGGTGTTTCTGATCTACTCTCCTCCCCACTCTTCCTCTTTTCCTTCTCCTGTACCAAGGACATAGACTCTGCTGAAGAGGCAGAACCGCGTTGTGGGGCCCACTCTGTTCCAACGATGCCTGGGTTCTGACCCTAGCTCCACCACAGGGGAGCTGTTTGTCCTTAGGCAAATTACTTCATTTTTCTGTGACTCAACAGCCCTAAATCCATCTGTAATAGGAGAATGAAAAAGTGATCCCTACTCCAAGACCTTTGAGAATTAAAAGAGTTTGCACATGCACGATGAATAGTGCCTGGCACAGGGTGTGAGCTTGATAAATGACACATTCTCATGTTTCCTGAGGCCTCCACATGATGTGGCTGGGAGGGCAAATTAATTCACTTTTTTAGATGTCTGTTTCTTCAGAGGACTGTTTCCTTAACCCCTGGAGGGATTATTGGAGGAGGTGAGACCCCAGAAAGTCCCACTGCTATCTGCTCCCTTAGAAAAGATTGAGGGCAGCCAAGGCTTCCGCCGGCCCCTCTGTGACGAGCCATCTGCTAAGCTTTTTCAAAACTTTTGTTCCCTGTGTAGGTGAGAGATGGGTTGAAGAGTGTCAATGGTGGAAAGACCCTGAAAGTCATATTCATCTGTGGAGCCTAAGCTCATTGCAGGCATGGGACAACAGAGTTGAGCGTCTACACCGGCGCCTCTGGGATTACAGTGTGCCTCAGAATCACCTGGAGGGCTGTGGAAACGGTGTGCTGGGTCTCAGCCCAGAGTTTCAGACTCAGGATTGCTGGGATGGGGCCTCAGGATTTGCAGGTCTAAGAAGTTCCTAGGAAATGCGGAGGATGCTGCTTGGGGAGCAGATTTTGAGAACCACCAGTTTCCCCAAACCAAAGGGACTCTCTAGCTTCTCTCTAGCGACCCAAAGTCGCTGGTTACTTGTCACTCCTAAATTCTTCTGTGGAGCAGAGCAGCTAGGTGGATAGCGCTGCCATTAGGAGTCAGGCTCTGGGGCCAGACTGCCCGGGTTTGAATCTTGGCCTCATTTTATCACCTGTGTGATCCTGGTCAAATTACTTAACCTCTGTGCCCCAGATTCCTCACGATAACAAATACTAACATTTTCTTGAGAGTTTACTCTGTGCCATGCACAGTTCCAGTGTATTTACTACTTACTTGTTAAATCCTAACAAGACCATGAGGTTGGATGCACTATTATCCCCGATTTACAGACGAGGAAATGGAGGCACAGAGGGCAATACCTGTAAATGCCTCATAAGATTATTCTTTGGATCAAATGAGATAATCTATGTTAAATTTTCATTTGAACATCCAAGAATCTTAGTTATTTTTACTATGGAAAAAACGATCTGAGGTCCTTTCCCTTCTTTTGAGATTTAAAAATCTCAAATGTTTTCCTCAGAGGGTGAACCATCCTGCTTCCTTTTGGGTCCTATGGAAAAGATCCACAGATCACATTCTAGTCTTGTCCCACATTTTGGTCCTCCTGCAAGAGATCAAGCTCCCCCCTTGTAGACTTTCTGTCTCCAGAGAGCTGTCACAGTTTTAAGGGCCCCGGGCCATGTGTGGGTGGAGAACCGGGAAGGCAGGACACAGCAGGAGGAAGTCTGCACGAAAGCAATGGTACGTGTGCACCTCGTTAAGCAGGGAGTCCTGTATGAGAACTGACAGGGGCAGCTTCCCAGAATGCAGACAGTATGCAAGCTCACCAGACCAAAAGGGGAGAGAAAGAGAGAAGAGAGATGGCCCCAGCCCCCTGAGCTGCACCAGCACATTCCAGCATGATTGACACTTGCTAGTGGCCTCTGTTTTTCTACAGAGGGCGAGGGGCAGGGGTGGAGACCTGGCTGTTGCTTTCCCTGACCTCGACACATTTTAAGCTTCCTTTTCACGGATCAGATAGAGGGCTTTCATTAACTTAGGCTAAACGTGAACACTAATTGGTATTAATCACCATCATTAAATGGAGTGAAAAACTAGTGATTAAACCTTCAGAACTTCCCAGCTGTAAGAAAAATATTCTGATGGGGCTGGCCAGTGGCGTGGTAGTTAAGTTCGCATACTCTACTTTGGCAGCCCAGGGTTGCGTGGTTCGGATCCCAGGCATGAACCTAGCATCACTCATCAGGCCATGCTGAGGTGGAGTCCCACATGCAAAATAAAGGAAGACTGGCACAGATCTTAGCTCAGGGCCGATCTTCCTCACCAAACAAACAAATAAATAAATAAAATTCTGAGATACAAGGACTCATCATTCAGTTCTAACCCATGCTTTCTCTCACCTCCCAGCTGTCACACTGGCTGCTGCACTTCCGCTCTGTCCCCATACCCTGCCCTGTCTTTGGATCAGCTAATGCCTCTTCATCCCTTGGGCTGTCACCTCCCCTATTAGTTCCTTGATACCCTTTCCCAACGCTACCCCTCACCAAGGCTGGAGCAGGTGCCCATCCTCCGTGCTCTCACAGCCCCAGTTCTTATCACACTGTTCTGTGAGGGCTCACCTGTCTGCCTCCCTCCCTCAACACGAGGGCACAAGCATCTTACTCATCTTTGATTTCCCAGTGCCAAGCACATCACCAGGCTGATGATAGATAATCATTAAATGTTTACTGATTGATTTTTTTTTCCTGCACACCCCGCCTCCTTGCCATGCTAAATGTTGTAGGCCCTCCACCAGTGGAAAGCCTGATTCCTCCCCTCAGAGAGAACAATGAGGGCAGGAAATGCTCAGTGAGTCACTCAGCTTGGTTGGTGGTAAACATTGGGGTAAGAACATGTGTGACGTGCTCCAGGGTGAAAAAAATAAAATAAAAATAAACTGGGGGTAAATCGATTGAGTTGAGCAAACAAGAGGTGCCTGCCTGGTGTGCGAACTGGTCCAGGGTGCACAGATAAATGAGAGGTGTGCCCGAGCTGACACAAAAGAGCTCAGGCTCGTGCAGGAGGCCTCACTGTCCAGTTTGCACCTTTCTAGATACGTACTTCCTCCTGTGGTTACAATTCTGATAAGCAAGCAGGTGCTCCGGAAAACCAGCTTTCCAGGGAGCCTGTATCATGCGGATACTGGGGTTCAGTGCGCCACAGGCTGCCAGGCAAGGCATTCCAGGATTTGTCATCTTGTAGGGGTGAGCATTGTTCTCGCCTGAGTCTGAGCCTTGACAATATCCCTCTGGCGGACAAATCTCTCTGTGCCCACTTCGCAAACCTGATAATTGCAGACTTTCTCTTCTGCTCCAGTCAGTTGGTCCCAAATATGTAACCTTGGTCATCAGGGAAACCAGGATAAAAAGATATTTGAGTAGGAGTTGGGGGGAGTACATTTCTTTGCAACGGGACAGATACATGTAAGGTCATCTCCTGATAGGTCAATAGGGTCAGTTTCTGTAGGAGAGAGGAGATGAAGATAACGTTCAGGGTCTGGGAAGGCAGACAGTCTGGGGGCCTACCTACGTGTTCACTTGCTACGGGAGGACTCCACGGTCTCAGTGCTGCTCCTGGTGCCTGGTTGCTCTTGGCCACAGTCGAATCAGTTTTTTGTTCTTACTTCATTGCTTTTGTGCATACAGCCTTCTTAGGATAAACATGTGCTTTTTGAGGGCAGGGTATGTATTCCAGTGCTTCCTGCATATTTTAGCACAGTTCTGGGGACTTGGGGTGGAGGGAGGAAGAGAGGCAGTACTTGTCTAAATGATAAGAAAAATAAAGGAAAGCATTGGGCACAAAGCCCCAGGCCTGTCCATTGTCTTTCTTATCCAAGAGTAGTGCCCCTAAATTTGGTCCCCTGATTTTATTGGCTTTATAAACCTCTAGATGAAAGCCAATGCAAAGCTTCTGTCATATGGAAACAGGCCCCAACAAAAAATGCATTGCCGCCTATCATGGATGCTCAGGAAACTTTTCTGAGGCTACTAGGAAGCTCAGGTGTTCCTTGTCAAGGGGAGCCCCCCATTTCCCTCCCCTCAGGCTGCAAAGTTAAGCAAGGCCAGAGCTCTCATCCCTGGGACCAGTTCCTTTCTTCCATGAACGATAAAATTAGTTTTCTATTCCTCTAGCCCTTCTAGCTGAGAGATCTGACATAGCAAAGTGGGTGATGTTTCTAGCATTCAAGAAGAAATGACTGAAGGAAAATAGAATGATTGTCTTCAAGTATTTCAGAAAGATTTTTTGATCCTGGAGAGGGGTAGTCTGGTTCTGCAATACTCGCTTGCGGAGGGTAGGCGGGGGCGGGTAGGAGAGGAGAAGCCACGGGGAGACTGATTTCAGCTCAGCAGGAGAAATGACCTTATACCAATTCCAGAGTCTGAAATGGAATGGTCTGCTTTGTAGGGTAATGAGTTTCCTCACACTGAAGGCATCTTCAAAATATTTAATTTAACTTGTTTGAATAGGTAGTAAATGCAACAGGACAAAATTCAAAAGGAGGAAAAATATATTATGAAAAGGGGTCTCCTTCCAGACATTCCTTTTTCATCTGAAGAGGCAACTTCTGTTATCTGGTATTTAATCAAAAGCCAGACAACTCTCCGTGAGGAATACTGTAAATGGGCTGTGGCTGCTGGCGTGGAGCAAGATGACCTCTGAGGACCTTCCATCTCTTGGACCGCCCCCTTTACATTTGCGGGTTATAGTCCCTAAGCTTCTATCAAAAAACAGTGGGAATATTGAACCAGATCTGAGCAGACCT